TAATATTAATGATTATAAATCTTAAGTTGAAATTTAACAATTTAAATATAAATTTCGCATACATCTTAATTCAATTATTATCATTTTGTTCTCCTTCAAGTCTTCTCTTTTTTCTTCAGCTTTCTTTGCTTCCCAGTCTTTGATCTAACTTAACTTTTTTTATTATTTTGGATATAATTTGTTCAATTTTTTACTAATTCCAAAGTATATAAGACTCAAATTTTATAGCTATACCCAACTTAAGCAGCAAATTCTGAATAGTTGCAATTATGAATCAATAATTTCTAATTTTAACAGTATAAAGCTCGAAATTTTGCTAATATCATGCTCTAATTAGAGGGAATATGATTTATACGGTATGAAAGATTTCATCATAGAAATTGAACTTTTAAATCCATCCCAATTTACCTCATCTTTAAATTAAGAATCGCCATATAATTCCTTATATCAAGAAATTTTTGGTTCTTTCTGGTACTTTATTAGGATTGATATGCTTTGTATTTTGATATTTCAAGTTTGCATTGGCATTAAATAGATTTACACAAAGCATGCAGCAGAGACAAATTATAAATTCAAAATGAAAACTAATAAGATCATATCCTTGAATGATTCTTGTCATGTTACTAATATATTTATTCTTGCCAGCTAACTCAGTTAACAAAATCTCATGTTTTTGGGTTTGACAATTAATACTTATGTTATGAGGAATTTAAACTTGAGATTTTTTATTAGATTTGGCAACTTAGCACATTAATATCTTTAAGCTTGAGTTAAACGAACTACTAGTCTAAATTCTAAAGGTTAGATATCTCGTTGCTTCTCAGATTTAGATATTGAAGCTTGAAAAGAGGAGGGTGATGTTTCTTTAAATTTTGCTTGTTATTATCTCTAACATTAACTTGATCAAACTGGAGTAAAGTTTTCATAACCAGTATAAGAAGCAATAACGTTAGGTCTAACTCCTCAAGTTTGCCCAAATTCTTAATTGGTGTAAGGATCTTAAACATATTGCTGATCATTTTCAATAGTCTTATCTTGCCTTGGTCAGTCCAGCTTCTCCAAATAATCATCTCAATTGGGTTAAAACTAATGTCAAGATACTCTAACTTAGATCACTTATAAAGAGCCAATTTAGTGTATTTATAATTGAGATGTCTTATCAATTGAGACTTGTAAATTCTCCTCTTTAACTTATTCTTAACTAGATCCTTGTCATTGGCAATGATGTTATTTTATGTAGATTAAGGAATGTTTCATGCTTAGCTTAAAGATTACTGCTGTTAAGAATCACAATATGTCTGTTATCTAAGATTAAATGTGAGAAGTATATAGACTCATTATCTGGGGTTTAGTAAAAATATTATGATAAGAATTATTGATTCCGGACAATCTTTACTATTTATTCAGCCATTGCATCTTTGCTTAATTTAGACTTTAAAAGAATTTAAGTATTTGATTTTAATTCGCATCACTTATTCTATGTTTTATGATTACTGATGGGGTTTTGGGGTTTTGGGGG